ACTGCCATTCTAATGGGTCCTTGGTTTGTTTGCCTGCACCATTAACCAGATCTAGCTTAGAAAATTCCGTCACGGCATAAATAATGTAGCCAACTTTAATAACAAAATCTGTAACTCTTGTTGATTTTTTCTCTTTGATGTTACAATGTCATTAACCTCAGAAATATCTGCATGGAAGATGCATCATATTGACAACCAGTAAGGAAGCGCTCAATATCATCGGGTAATGCATTGCGAGGAATTCCTTGTAGCAAAATCTGCAAAAAATAGCTATTAATCAACAATATATACAACATGAACGCACATACAAAAATAAAAATAAACAGAGTTGTAGTAAATGTAAAAGTGATTGAAATTTGCAACATCTTGGACATGTTAAATTTCAGGATGAGCATAATGCCATGCATAAAGTCATCCATAACTTAAAAGAAAAAATCACAGATCCTAAATTTCTTCTCACCGCTTTTCCATCAAAGGGAGCAATAAGATCCCACTGGGTTCGGTCAGCCTTGCATCAACAGATAAGATGGTGAACAAACTTAATTTCTGCAGGAATATAAAAACATGAAATAATATCAACCCATTGTACCCTTTCCAATCTAATCAAACGACCATTCCTGCTAATTGCCCGAAGAGCGGCATTATAAGCATTTCGAGAAGGGAATTGCACCATTCTGCAAAGGGCCATCAAACGAGAGAAAAAATATCATTTGATGAATTTGCAAATCAAAGGTTTTCAATCAAATTCAAAAAATAGATAACTAATGGTTTGTTGTAAAGCAACTAACTCTTGACGGGGGAAGGGGGATAACGTCAATAATTTAGTAGCTGCAAACCATTTGTAGATGGTACTGTCCAGCTACTTTAAAACGGAAGAAACAAGGAAAAGAAAAGAAAAGCATAACCAAATTGGAAAATTGTAGTGAAAAAATAAGAAAGATTATAGCTAAAAAGCCAAATGAGCACAAAATATTGCAGTAAATATGATGCATATTTATTCAGTATAAAGCTCAAAATTCTGTAAATGTTTAAAGACAGTGCATCATGAGGAGAAACTCACATTGAAGTTGGCATATAATTTCGACTGTATTCAACTTTGATATCATCCAGAACCAGGTTACAACCCTCAAGCAAATTGACAATATCACTCTTTGCCGTGTGCTTTGTGATGCCACTTAGTCTCCCATAAACCAAACCTGACAAAAGAACAGAGTACAATTCTCAAAAACTTAGAATAGTAAAACTCCATCAGCTCTGATTTCATTTAAAAAATAAAAAATAAATAAATTATCAGAGCACGAATTATCAGAACAATTTTTTTTGTCAGGGAAAAAAAATACAAAGTCTGGGCATAA